GGTACAGTGTGATGTCTGTTAAGACCACAGTTGACAGAATCCATCAATAAGGGTACAGTGTGATGTCTGTTAAGACCACAGTTGACAGAATCCATCAATAAGGGTACAGTGTGATGTCTGTTAAGACCACAGTTGACAGAATCCACCAATAAGGGTACAGTGTGATGTCTGTTAAGACCACAGTTGACAGAATCCATCAATAAGGGTACAGTATGACATCTGTTAAGACCAGTACATTACACTTTTATAGGAAGTTGAATCAGTCACAAGTGATCCTATGTTATAGGTTTTATATATAGTAGACATTTTATATTATAAAGTCACTAGAGGTTAAGCCTTTAAGGCAGTGTGTACACAAGAGAGAGTTTCCCTGTGTGCAGAAATCACAAGTACGGCGATCATACTGATATTCACACAGAAATATACTTCAGATAATGAGTAGACAGGTATATTGTAACTGTTGTATTAGGATATAAACAGGTATATTGTAACTGTTGTATTAGGATATAAACAGGTATATTGTAACTGGTGTATAAGGATATAAACAGGTATATTGTAACTGTTGTATAAGGATATAAACAGGTATATTGCAACTGTTGTATAAGAATATAAACAGGTATATTGCAACTGTTGTATAAGAATATAAACAGGTATATTGTAACTGTTGTATAAGAATATAAACAGGTATATTGTAACTGTTGTATAAGAATATAAACAGGTATATTGTAACTGTTGTATAAGGATATAAACAGGTATATTTTAACTGTTGTACAAGGATATATATGTATTCCAACATATTGTAACTGTTGTATAAGGATATAAGCAGGTATATTGTAACAGTTGTATAAGGATATAAACAGGTATATTGTAACTGTGGTGTAAGGATATAAGCAGGTATATTGTAACTGTTGTATAAGGATATAAACAGGTATATTGTAACTGTTGTATAAGGATATAAACAGGTATATTGTAACTGTGGTGTAAGGATATAAGCAGGTATATTGTAACTGTTGTATAAGGATATAAACAGGTATATTGTAACTGTTGTATAAGGATATAAACAGGTATATTGTAACTGTGGTGTAAGGATATAAACAGGTATATTGTGACTGTTGTATAAGGATATAAACAGGTATATTGTAACTGTGGTGTAAGGATATAAACAGGTATATTGTGACTGTTGTATAAGGATATAAACAGGTATTTTGTGACTGTTGTATAAGGATATATATGTACTCCAACATATTGTAACTGTTGTATAAGGATATATATGTATTCCAACATATTGTAACTGTTGTATAAGGATATAAGCAGGTATATTGTAACTGTTGTATAAGGATATAAGCAGGTATATTGTAACTGTTGTATAAGGATATAAGCAGGTATATTGTAACTGTTGTATAAGAATATAAGCAGGTATATTGTAACTGTTGTATAAGAATATAAGCAGGTATATTGTATCTGTGGTGTGAGGATATAAACAGGTATATTGTAACTGTTGTATAAGGATATAAACAGGTATATTGTATCTGTGGTGTGAGGATATAAACAGGTATATTGTAACTGTTGTATAAGGATATAAACAGGTATATTGTATCTGTGGTGTGAGGATATAAACAGGTATATTGTAACTGTTGTATAAGGACATAAATAGGTATATTGTAACTGTTGTATAAGGATATAAACAGGTATATTGTAACTGTTGTATAAGGATATAAACAGGTATATTGCAACTGTTGTATAAGGATATAAACAGGTATATTGTAACTGTTGTATAAGGATATAAACAGGTATATTGTAACTGTGGTGTAAGGACATAAATAGGTATATTGTAACTGTTGTATAAGGACATAAATAGGTATATTGTAACTGTTGTATAAG